AGAAATAATTCAATAATGGCAATAATGGCAGTGCTCAACTAGGATCATCAAATAGGAATATGCTGTTCCTATTTAAACACTTATTTTATATATGTATATATTACCATTTATTTATTTATTTGCTGAATTGTATGTATTAACTACCGTAGCTAAAGTCATTGATTCGGGCAACGTATGGTGTTGGATACTGTGCAGATTGCTTATTATTTTTTATCTCAACTTAAAAATTATTTTTATTTTATAAACATATTGTTTTTTTTTTCAATTATCTTTTTCCACATAAATGTTATACATAACATATAATAGGCTTATATCTTATATCGAAGTAGTACACATACACTACACCAGATGAGTGCTATATTCAGAAAGAAATTTGTAATGTAATAGAAGAAGTAATTAAGTTGACATTTTTTTGCTAATTTTATATATTATATATATATATATATATATATATATATATTACATTTTATTTTATATATATACATATATATATATATATATATATATTCATTTCATATATTTCAGATTATTTATTGTCCAAAAAACTCGGATATTCTGATTGCGTGTAACCATTTAAATACGTACAAATACAAAAATATATACAAGCATCACGAATATAAAAAAAAATAGCAAAAGGTGACCAATTTAAAATTATGAAAAAAAGATATGGCCTATGTATATACAATTAATAAATATAGTTAAAATAGACAAGTGATAAACATTAATTTGGATATTGAGTTGTATCTTATTGCAAAACGTACGAGTTGAGAAATCTGGAGGTGTGGCATTTTAGCAGATCGTAATCTTATTTCTGAGCATAGCCATTTAAATTTCTTAAAAGTGGCTGGTTTCTATCTTCTTATATTGTGATGGTTTCTAATAAATTCTTTGGCAGCACAGGTCTTCAAGAGAGGCGCTTATAAGTTAAATATACTAGCCTTACTTAGTACACTTTGGATCTTAATATAATCTGTCTTTCTTAAACTACTTAAACATAAAATACAATCAAGTGTAGTGACATTTTCTACAAACGATTAAAAACAGACTAAGGATTGTATTATCTACATAAATTTTAAATCTTCTCAAAAAAAGAATCCGTGAGTTCCCTTTCTAGTCTAGTGATCTTGGCGTACTGACTCCAATTTTAATTATCATCAATTGCAAGGCATATATTGTTATTATTATTTCTATTATTATTATTATTCATCTACTTTTTTAATATCACGTACTCCCAACTTAGTTAATGTCACGTTAGTATATCCACATAATACATTGCAAAAGTGCTATCGTTGGACATTTTCTCCTAAAATCCTCTTTTACACACGATGTGCTAATAGTATTGTTACGGAGACCGGCTCTATTGGTCGTTTGCCAAATATACGCGTGCGTCGGTAGCGCAAGTAATTTTGTATTTATAAGGAATACGGTATTTATTACTATAAAGTTAGAAAATACGCTTTTCGTAAGGTCTTACCTGTATGCGGCATTGTTTGTTTTCTGGATAGGCCTATTGTCGTCTTCGCCTTTCAACAATGAAAGTTGTTAAAACTATAAGCGCTGATTAATCTACAGAGGAACTTTCTATTTGCGGTCGTGAAAACGCGAAGATACAACAGCCGCGGTTTTACGTCAACTGACAAGAAATCCAGATTGATGGTTTTAGTTTTGTCCCCGATTTGCCTATTAAAATCTATAACGACTTCTTGAGGTGTTGGACGCCACTTACTCTGCAAACAGATCGAACGGATGATCAATCGAGCGTGTAGCGAGTAACAGGCGTATTACCCGAATTTGTCCATCTGAATCAAGAATTGATACCGCACAGAGACAAAACACCTGCCTTTTCTTGGTATCCATGGTGATCAAAGCATTTTCCCCTTAGCGCGGAAATTGCTAGGAAGTTTACAGTAGCAGGCGTAGCGTGAAGCAACCCGGCAGAACGTGCATCGGAAGGCCGACAAATAAATTGTTTTTCATTACTATTCGTCTCTCGTCACTAAACTGTGTTCGTCGCGCGTACTGTGACGGCCTACGCAGGTGTTTCTCTAGTCTCATGTACCCAGGCTATTGTCCTTCGATGCAGGCCTAACAGTTTTAGATAATAGCATGTTCAAAATGCTTAACTGCACTGAATTAATACGAACGACTAACATCATGAGCAATTCACGCGTGTTCATGATTATCGTAACTCTAATCTGTCTATGTCAGAATTTCTACATTGATCACTTCTTGCTGATGTTGATTTACTCTCGATTTTATTCTTTCAATGAAATGAGAAGAATAATATACTTAACGAATGATATACTGCTTACCTATTTACAAAATACTGTATTTAGCTCTTTACAAAATTGTTTTGAGGGAAGTTATTTAATATTATTAAGAACATCTATACAAATCTTAAAGGCTATTTTTGTGAAATAGAAACTTTTTTTTTTAATTGACGAAGGAGTGAAACAGGGATGTTTTTTTTTTAATTGACGAAAGAGTGAAACAGGGATGTTGTTTATCCTCTGTTCTCTGTTTTGGATTGGATTGGATTTATTTGGCGTAAACACCAGGGATAGCCCACGGAAGTCTAGAAGAAGACTTATTTCCAGTGGGGTCCTTCTGGTGATGATTGGTCAGTACAACGATATACAATTCCCTACCATTTTCCGAAGAGTGTACTTTCTTTAACGTGCACATGGGCCATATGCACACGGACCAACTGCTTAAACGTCTCATCCGAAAGTCGGTGCGCTATTGTAACTTGTAGGCCTATTTCAGCCCTCCAGCTGAAACACAAGGAGAGGCCAGCGATGGGAATTGAACCGGGGACCTAGAGATCTCCACGGTTCAGTCACTGATCTCTACTATAATAGCTGGATTGCTCATTGGCTGGTTTTAGTGAAGCTCCTTTTGTTTAAATTATTGTTAAAAATAACGATTCTTGCAAAACTTTTTTAATAATAAATTTGAATTTAAAGTAATGATTATTATCATCTATCTATGTAGCTTTTTATGCAGCAAGCGAAGTTGGTTGTCACTATAACAACGCGACTTCGCTCGCGCTTTTGAATCTGCATAAACAGTCGCGTCTAGTGGTTAGATGGTTTGAAAAAAATTGCTACGTTAAATTTAAATTAAAAAAAGTATTGCAAGAATCGTTATTTTTAACTATAATTTAAACAAATGCCAAAAGAAACTTTTCTAAAGGCCATCTAAACTGGTACGTCACTTAGGCCTCACTTTTTTTCTGTACCAGGATTGGCCGATGAGCAATCCAGCTATTAGTAGAGATCAGTGGATTCAGCGCACACACAGTGGCTACCACCAGATTAGCCGACTGAGCTAAGCTCCTCTAATTTTATTTTGTATTTTCATTAATTAAATGAATAGGGTAATAAAAGAGAGCGCTACTATTTCAAATGTTAAGATCGGTTTCCTATTTTGGGCTGATAATGTGGTGCTGATAGGAGAGGATGAACAGGATCTAAATAAATTATTAGAAACGGCAAGTACATTTTCGAGAATATGGAAACTATCTTTTATTTTAAGCACGAAAACTCAAATATTTTAATAGCTGGACAAAGAACTAATACTCAAAAGAAATGGAAATTGGGGAATAATTACATAGAAGAAAAAGAACAGGGAGGTTCTTCTTCGGTGGCACTTTATGATGAATTAGGATGGAAATCACAACAAAAAAATACGAAGGCAGAGTATTTTCCGTTTAAATAAAACATATGAATGATGGCAAAGGGCCCAACAAAAATCTACACTTCAAAACTATATAATCTATAAAGGAGCCCCTAAATTCCAACCATATATTTTAGATATATTAAATTTTTACAGAATCAACTTGAACTTTAAAATACGCTCTGCATGAACTGGAAGCTAGAAAAGAGTGGTCAGCTAACAGCAATAGATTATGTATAGGATGTAGGCATCAGAGGTCGTGCCTGGAAATTTATTATATGAAAATGTAAAATGAAAGGTAAAAATTGAGGATATTTTTACGGATGAATTTAAAATACATCAGGGGTTCAAGCAGGGCTGTATTTTGTCGCCAATATTATTTTGTATTTTCATGAATGTGAATGAATTAACCAAACTACTTAGATCAAATGATATTGGTGTACATAGAATTATAACAACTGGCATGGAGCCCTATTCTGGGCGGATGATGTAGTCTTACTGGCAGAAGATGAGCACCAGTTGGTTAGACTGCTTGAAATTGCAACCAAATTTGCAAAACAATGGAAATTAGGATATGTCTAATGTCATTGTCATAGGTAAACGTGTAAATAAAAACAAAGTTTAGAAATTAGGTGATTACAGCATAATTGAAACATATACATACAAGTACCTTGGTGTACTTATTTCAAGAAATAGAAATGATCATAATCATGTTGAACATGTAATTAGGTTATATGAAATCAATTATCAATGATATCAATAGCTTTAATAGAGTGTACTATTGTAACATCCTATGGCGAACGTTCGCACTTCCATCTATCAACTACGCAAGTGTGGTGTGGGTAAACGGAAGCAATTAAAGTGACCTCGAAAAAATTTAAAAAGCTGCAAATGCAAATGGCGAGGTGTATTCTAAATGCTCAAAAAAAAAAATTTAGGCTGAGCAAACAGCGAACTGAAAATGGTTGAATGACCCGAGTGACTGGAATTTGTAAGGTGTGCAATGATACTTCCATTGAAGACATTGATCATTTTCTGCTTGTATACCCAGCTCTTGAAAACACTAGAAGAATAGATATTACACTTAAAAAATAATCTCCAATCACTAAACTTTCACCATGTATGGTATAATTTTAACTCTTTAAATATTACAGAAAAGGTAAGTATAATCAAATGAAATTTTAGTGGAAATTGATAAATTTAGCAAATCATTGTCTAAAAACTTGTGGAAAGAAGTCATTACTATTGCATGCCTCTACCCACATAAGTAACTTTTGTGTTGTTGTGTTTGATTTGAAATGTAATTTTTTATGTGCTTATTTGTATTTTTAATATTCTAATAATCTATTATGTTTTTAAAATTAATATTACTACAGTACCGTACTTGTATTTTTTATGTTGTTTTATTAGTAGATTTTGTTAAAATACCTTTACACAGCTACTGTATTCTGTTTTTGTATTATTGTTTTTTTAAACTCAATTTAATTTAGTTGTTTTTCTTTCTCTTTTATATAGTACATTGAGCGCACCAAATCATTGTGTGGCGCTGAAACAAAAGTGTATGTTCAGTTGAATAAATAAATATAAATTGCGTAGACAAAATAAGAAAGAAACAGTAGACCACTTATTTGATTGTAAAGTACTCGATAAAATGAAAATTGAAAATCAATTGTATGATAATCACTTACAAATACATTGGACTAATTTTATTAATGGTTTCGTTTATAAAACACTTCATATTAGATAATTTATATCATGATAACTTAATTTAGGTCAAATTGTAGATAAAAACTGTAGACCATATTTAACGAAAGCATTAGCGACTTCTGTTCGAATTCACAGTTACCAACGGTCTTGCATCGTGCGGGACGGTCTCGAATTTCAAAGTGATTTGGGATGAAACACGCATTTTGCAAAAACACACAAAAAACAACATATAAAGTACCGGTACGGTAGACGCCGTTTTTGTGGAGGGTAAAGTAACGTAGGAACGGGATATAGGCCTAGTTTAGTCCGCTGTTGGCTGAGCAGATAGGCCTAGCATAGAATAGACCTAGACCTGTCTATCCCATCTAAAACTTATCCTACTGGCGTTTGGGTACAAACGAAGAGTAGGTTATGTGACTGAAAGTAATATAAATAGAATAATTCTATACTCTTTTGTGAAACTGCAGTTGTCAGTTAGTATTAAACACGCACGCAGCTATTTCGGTGAGTACAGTGAATACTTAATTTATTGACGCGTTAATAAAAATCGACCAATGCCTACTGTGTTCATTTTTTGTTTGAGTAATGAAAATGTTTGTGTACGTAATTCGGGTGCTTAGATTAAATATCCCTACTTTGAAACCCAAATTATACTTGGCTTTATTATTTTTGTTTATGTACCCGGTATTGTAAATAAACACTCCCTGAAAGCGTTTTAAAATAGCTTTAAAAAAAATCTCAGATCGTCGGAGCTCCAGTATCGTTTTGTATTTTTGTAATACATGTAGGCAGGTGTGCAGTTACTGAACGATTTTGATTTTTGAGAATTAGCACAATACTTTCAAAATTAGAAAAGGATCTGGAATCACATGTAATTATATAGAAGGAATTTTGAGCAAATGAAAAAATAATGTAGGCTGTTAAAGTACACAGACATTGACTATAAATACAAATAGGGAAGGATTATATACTGTCTCTTATACACTCAGGTAAGTTGAAAAAGATTTCGAAATAGAAGAATATTCATGACTGATCTGAAGTTTATCTGTTGTGACAAAGAAAGCTATTGCAGTAAGAAGAAGTAAAAGAAGGAAACATTTTTTGCGACGGTCATTTTTTTTTAACAAGAGGGAGAAAATGGTCATCATCAATTGCTGTTGCAATAGTTTCACACGTTCTTCAAGGGTTGTTTTCTTTATCCTTTCCTTATTATCTGCAAACCCCTCTTCT